TAATAGTAACCTGGCCATGCATTCAGGCAATTAATGCCTGAGTAAAATGGGAAATAAGCCACAAAATTATTTTAGAAAAAAATGTATAATAAATTTGTGGCTGGTTTTCATCATACCTTAAATTGAGCATATGGCAAGATCCCCACCATGCGACCCAATGCCAGCTGCATGGTAGAGCTCTGGGACTGGCCTGAATGTGGTTACAGGCTAGGACCCACAATCAGCTGATTGTCAGTCCCAGCCCCAGGACTATACCACCATCTCAAACATGCTCCATCGTGGTTCCACAGCTGTGATTAGCCATAAGTTGATAGTCAGTCTCAGCCCCAGTACCATACAAGTTCACCAGGCAGCTGGCTTTCAACTTGACAGTGCCTGGGGAGCCCAGAATTATGATCCTGGGCTCCACCTGCACTGGCAAGTGATAATGTCATGTTTGGGATCCAATCTCTGATCCCAAAATCACCTCTCCTGCCTTGTATGCATAGCATGGCAGGAGGGGCAATTGTTGAGTCAGGGAACAGATCCCATCATGCCATTAGGTGAACGTGTGCCACGGGCATATGACTATGTTTTCATACGTGGTGAAAACAAAAGGATGTCTTTTGATGGCATTCTCCTGTGAGCATTTTCACTTTTTTGCTGGAAAAATTGGAATTTTTCCCCATCTTTAGCACCAGAAAGTTTTAGTTTTTTGAGGTATTTGGTTGCTAAAACCCAGGTATTTTTGGCAAAAAAATTGAATTTGTTTGTGAAACTTTATTGAAATTCCTATTTTTTGAAAGTCCATTTTTCAACTAGGGGAAAAAAAAAACACTTTCAGATAAAATTTTCAGCAGGCTTCAATTATCATCTAAAGGCTGTGAATAAGCAGAACTTCAAACTGCTACAAAATGTGGGGAAGACCAGGGAAGACTTGCCTCTTGAGAGCAAATCAGCTGTCCTGATGTAATGATGACAGTGGTCCGCTTCAACATAGTGTAAGCGGAGCTCCTTTTAATGGAATAAGTTTAAAATTACAGTGGTATTAGCTTTATTGATATTGGTATAGTAGCAGACAGATATAATATTGTAACCATGATATGGGAACATCTTACAGCTGTATAATTTGAAACCAGCATAACTATCTTGTTTCTTTTCATCCAAAATCAGCATGATGTGATTCATTTGTGTTTTCATTTTGGCACAGTTGCAATTGGCACTTTCTTTGGAGTATACAAAGAAGACAGTTGGATTCCATCTTAAAATGATTATCCCTTTTTAGCTTTTCTCACAAGACTCAGATTATGGGTCCCTTGAGCTAAATGTATGCTTTTGAATAACTCTGCTCCGTATTTATTTTTAGAGCTACAGCTACAACATGTAAGTAAAAGTGCCTGAGTTTTCTGGCTATTCCTTGCTGGTGCTTGAACAGAAAAGCACACATGTATTTCACAAGCAGGGTGGCACCTTGGGGATTAACTGGTCCAGAGAGGCATGAGCTTTAATAGGCAACAACCTACTTCATCAGATGCTAGGAAAGTATTTCATAAGAGATTCATAGATGCTAGGGTCAGAAGGGACCTCAACAGATCATCAAGTCTGACCCCCTGCCTAGGCAGGAAATAGTGCTGGAGTCAGATGACCCCAGCCGGATGCCCATCCAGCCTTCTCTTAAAGACCCCCAAGGTAGGGGAGAGCACCACCTCCCTTGGAAGTCCTTTCCAGATTCTGGCCCCCCTCACTGTGAAGAAGTTCTTCCTGATATCTAGCCTAAATCTGCTCTCTGTCAGTTTGTGACCATTGATCCTTGTTACCCCAAGAGGTGCCCTGGTGAACAGAGCATCTCTGATCCCTTGCTGTGCACCGCTAATGAATTTGTAGGTGGCCACAAGATCACCTCTCATCCTTCTCTTGCAGTCTCAGTCTGTCTTCATAGGGCTTATCCTGTAAGCCCCTAACCATACGAGTGGTCTCCTCTGGAACCTCTTGAGATTATCCACATTCTTCTTAAAGTACAGCACCCAAAACTGGACGTAGAACTCCAACTGCAGTCTGACCAATGCCACATAGAAGGGAAGTATCACCTCCTTGGATCTATTTGTCGTGCATCTGCTGATGCATGATCAAGTGTGGTTAGCTTTGATGATGATTTTGTCACTGTAGCTTTCTGTGCCTCTCCCCCTGAGCGTCGCGCGTCTGGACTTCTTTTGAACCTCGCCATTGCCTTCTGGGCTGCACGGCCAGGTTACTCAGAGCGGCCTTGGATCAGCACCCCAGGGGTTTCTCCTGCCACGTCTTTGATGTTGATTGGTTTTCTAGCAGGAGGATGGTGTCCGGTCCCATCTGCCCTGGGTACTCCCCCTCAGTTGTCTGCACGGCTATTGCTTCTCAGGGCTCCACCTCCCCTATACCCTGCCTAACGTCAACTGTGGTGTTGTCCATTGGGGCTGCTGTTCTGGCCCTCACTGACTCTCACTCATTAGGGGCTGAAGCTGTGGGCCACAGGTGGTACTTGCACTGAGCGACTGCTGCTGCCCTTCAGTGTCTCCCAGTTTGCGCGGTGCCTGACTCCACTCAGGTCTTGGGACCCCTTGTTGTGTTGTTCCCTCCCTGGGTTTGGTACCTGTTGTCTGGCATCTGTGTCTGGGTTCCTGGTCCATCATCTCCGTTAGTGTCCCAGTCACAGCTGTTGTTGGCCTCCACCCACGGTGGCTTTGTAAGTGACTCCTTGGGTCCTTGCTGGCCCAACTTGCCTTCCGTGGTTTTCCCTCTGGGGCGCCACCACATCTCCTCCTTCATAGGATCCTCTGCACTCTCTGGCATCCCTGGGCTGGTTGGGGACACTACTTCCAGTCTCCCTGGCTTCCTTCCTGCCAGGCCTTTTATCCTGGCAGTGGGTGGCCGCCTGGCCAATCGCCCCGGCACACTTTTATAAAGCTCACCCAAACAGATGCAGGAGCCATTCCTGGCTCCTTCTGGCTACTCCCCAGGTTTTCCTTTTTGTCTTTGTCCACGGTGGCTCCCGCCACCGCAGTTTCACTTTCACTGCTGCTGGCTGCCAGCATGGCATCCTGCCTCCTTTCTTCTGCCTCCGGTAAGTTTCCTCCACAGTCACACTGACGACTTATGTTCATCTTGGAGTCACTATGACTCTGAGATCCCTTTCTGCTTCTGTGCTGCTGAGAGGGTCATTCCCCAGCCAGTAGGTGTGCTGGATATTTTTGTGCCGTAGGTGCGGTACTCTGCATTTGTCCTTGTTGAACTGCATCCTATTCTGTACTGCCCACTTTTCTAGCATTTCCAGGTCTGCCTGTAATCCTTCCCTACCCTCTGGAGTGTTCACTTTACCCCACAATTTAGTATCGTTTGCAAACTTGGACAGAGGACACTTCACACCCACATCCAAGTCACTGATGAAGATATTGAAGAGTACAGGTCCAAGGACTGAGCCCTGCAGGACTCCACTACCCACATCCTTCCAGGTCAATACCGACCTGTCTACTACCATTCTCTGGGTGTGACTCCTAAGTGAATTTGCCACCCACCTGACTGTGTAAGCATCTATGTCATAGCCTCTTAATTTATTTATGAGAATCGGATGAGATACCATATTGAAGGCCTTGCTAAAGTCCAAGAAAATGACATCCACCTCTACTCCTGCATCTAAGCATTTTGTGACCCTGTTATAAAATGAAACCAGATTGGTCAGACATAATCTACCTGCTATGAATCCATACTGGTTTCCCTGCTGCATTATTTTTCCCACTGGACTCCAAGAAATATGATCCTTCATAATCTTTTCAAAGACTTTTTTGAGGATGGAGGTGAGATTGACTGGCTTATAATTGCTTGGATCCTCCTTCCTCCCCTTCTTGAAAATAGGGACCACATTGGCCCTTTTCCAGTCCTCCAGGACCTGACCTGAGTGCCATGAGTGCTCAAACAGCCATGCCAGTGATTCTGCTATGACACCGGCCAATTCCTTCAGTAGTCTCAGATGCTCATCCAGGCCTGCTGACTTGAACACATCCAATCCATCCAGGTGATTCTGCACCAAGTCAGCGTCGACAGTTGGTGGCCTAGTGACTCTCTGATGCCCATCTAAGAACCCATTAGGAGAGTTATCTTGACCCTTGTTCAGGAACTCTGAGGCAAAAAACTCATTGAAGAGCTCAGCTTTATCCCCCCATCTGTCGCTATTTGCTCCTTCTTGTTCAGTAGGGGTCCTATGCTGCCCTGCACCCTCCTTTTACTTCCTACATACCTAAAAAGCTACTTTTTGTCATCTTTTATTTGTGTTGCCAGCCTCAGCTCTGTAGTGACTTTGACTTTTCTAACTGCCTCCCTGCAAGTCTCTGCTACACCCTACATAGCATTGTTCTTTGCTCTATTTCCTGCTTTGCTTTTCTACACATTCTCCTGGGCACACTTCTGTATACTTCAATATTCAGATAGCACTGTTTAACAAAATGATTGCTTGCTGCCTGCTGTGCTTTGAGCTGGATGCTTGTCTGCAGGGGTAGTGCCATACTTTGCAGTTAGCTACTGTTTCATCTCTCACAAGGCTGCTTACTGCTCTTTTGTGTTAGAAGACACTGACTTCAGCACTGCAGCACCAGTGGGATTGGTGGTTCGCAGGTGTACAAGCTTAGTTTCCTTGGTACTACTGTTTGTGATGGATTTAAAGTTAAGGAGTGAAATCCCAATCCCATTAAAATCAGCTGGGTTCCATTTGATTTCAAGGGAGGCAGGATTTTCTCAGACATCTTTATCATTCCTCCTTGTGTTCTTCTAGTTGTGGCTTGTTCAGTTCAATCATTAAACTATCCCAGAATAGCAAGAACAAATAATGACAGGCTGTTTTGTTTCTAATCTGAATTTTTTAGTGGCTACCTGCTTCACTCCTCTGATCTCTACCATTCCTAGGCCATTTTTTTTCCTGGAGCTACATTTTTGCTGATACTATTCAAATGCTAGCATTTAATTAACTGTGGGCACATCTACATGTGAATTTAAACATGCTTAAATTTAATACTCAGTAAGTAATTTTTGGCAGGTGTCTACATGTATGAATGATGTGTGCCCCTGGTGGCTGGGGGGACATGGTGGCAGTGGGAGTGTGGAGGTGGTAAGCAGGAGCTCCCACAGATGCTGCCGCCACTGTCAGCAGCAGTGGGTGGGAGGTGGTGAGCGCTGACCAGGGGTCGGCGACAGCCCACAGATGCTGCCAGTGGTGTTGGTGGTGGGGTGGCAAGAGGCAACCACCTGCAGGCACCACCACCCCCTACGTGTTGCCCCTGTCTACATGTGCTGGGACTTGGGACTAACTTTAGTCCCAAGCCACTCCAGCCCTGCCGTGTGCCCCTGTGGCCAACAGGGAGAGCTCTAGCCATATGGCTGGAAGTACTTTGTAGCCATGCTGAAGCCAGAGCCAACTGCTAGCACTTGGAAACCATCTTAAAAACATTCCCTTCTCACTGTGACCTCTGAGCAGATGCTTCCTGGTTAGAGCAGCAGCGTGGCAGACACAGGCAGCACATGGCAGCTCTACTCCTGCTACAGCTGCACTTCCCAGCCCTGGCTACGCTAGCTCCTGGCCCTGTAACCCAGGGACAGGGTCCCCCACTTCTCAGGGCTGCTCCAGCTCTCCTGCTTTCCCACTGTCATTCTGTGTACCTGGCACTCAGTCACTTTCATAGAATCATAGAAGTAGGGTCGGAAGGGACCTTGTAGATCTTCAAGTCCGACCCCCTGCCTGGGAGGGAGAAAAACTGGACTCAAATGAGTCCAGCCAGGTAGGCATCAAGCCTCTTCTTAAAGATCCCCAGCGTAGGAGCCAGCACCACCTCCCTTGGAAGTTGGTTCCAGCTCCTAGCCATCCTAACTGTGAAGTAGTTCTTGCGGATGTCTAATCTAAACCTACTCTCCAATAACTTGTGTCCATTATTCCTTGTCATGCCAGGGGGTGCTAGGGGAAAC